TTCTGAGGTGTGCCCTATGGCTCTCGAGCCAAATTATGAAGGGTAAGGAGCTGAGGTAAATGTTGTGCAAGGATATCAGAACCGGCCCGGAAATGACCCGTACTCAAACACGTACAACCCCGGGTGGAGAAACCACCCAAGCTTCTCCTGGTCAAACAACAACACCCAGTAGCCGCCTCAACCTAACTTTGTCCCCCATCAGTAGCAACACATGGGACAAATGATAAGGTTGCCAGCGCCAGAAACCGGACCGAGCCCGTCAAACTCAGATGAGAAGTTGGATAAGATCCTCCAGTTTTTGGCCGACAACCAGCAATGAACCATGAACAACGAGGCTTCCATTAAACTAAAATGAAAACGCCGCTAGCCTGACTGCCTTAGCGGCACTAGGTCTATTTTACAGCAGCTGCGATTTTTGGGGATTTTGAATTGGAGAAGTTTTAAGTTTGAACCTAGGGCATTTGAAAGGGGGTTCTCAGACCTTGTAACTCGTTTTTCTCCATCTAAAAACATAATTCTTTCATCTTTTCTCTTAGATTTGATCTTGGATAGTGAAAACCCCAAGATTTTACCTTTGGATTTGGATTGCTCGTTATTTTTTCGACATTGAATTTGTTATTAATCGTAAGCTTCTCTTTCATTTCATTGATGAATGGTATGGCTTTGCTTGATATGAATGTTGATGTTGAATTTGTGATGAGTGGCTAAATCATTATGCTAGGGATAGGGGATTAATGATTTGATTTCAATTGTGATTGTCGAGTTCATTGATTGTTCTTCTTATGCGAGTTGATCTTTTAAAAGGGTTTTTCAATTGTCGTACATGAATATTGAGGATTGTTGAAGGGTGACACTTCAACTTCCAATTGATTTTCAATTGAGTTCGATTTATTCTTACATGATGTTGGGTATTCTAATGGATTAGTCGGTTAATCACCCTCTAGTCTATATTAATCAACTCTTGGAACCGAAAGGGGAGGAGTCGGTCGAAATAGGCTCGTATAAGCTAGGCTTGTTCGTAACTGTATTGCCTAGGTGTTAAATGACTTGTTAATTTGTCGTTCAAGTTTGTCCTCTTGTTACGAAGAGTTATTGAGGATGAGTACTTGAACGAGCAGGTTATTCAAATCACTTAACCGAACAATCACTTGCCCGATAATTGCATATCAAATCAAGACTATTATCCCGATTCCCTGGCTACCTTATTCTAGTTGATTGATTGCTTTTACTCTGCTTTCTGAATTTGCGATTTTATTTTCGTAGTTCTTAATTAAAAATCAAGCCAAAAATCTGAGTTAGAATGTTTAGAAATTTTGTTTCTCTTTTTGTGGTTAAATAAACGTGCAAAGTAAACGTGCAAAGAGAAATTTTGTTTCTCTTTTTGTTTTTCTTTTTGTGGTTGAATAAACTCGTGTATAATGCCTTGTGCAACCCTTGAGACTGATTGAGACTTGATGTATTCATAGGCTACAACACAGACAAAAAGGAGATATTAGATTAGGACTCTCTATGTGATTAGGAAACTTAGGTTCTAATCCACCTACACCCGTAACACATTATCAATATATTATTCCACTAAAGGAATATTATTTAACTTTTTAATTCAACCCCGAATTACATTTAATTTATGTAGAGATTTATTCACTCGATTTAACACTCTTTATTTAAGATCTAACGTCATTAATTAATTAAACTAGTGATAATATAATTAATTAACTTTTTCTACCAAAAGTAGTACCACTCGAACTTAAATTATGCAAGAACTTAATTCGCCTTCAAGTCTTTGACATAATAAATTATTTTGAGCTTATTTCGGGTACTTCATCAGCTCTACGCACCGAAACACAATGACCCTTAATAATTTTAATGGAACATAATACATTTAATAATTTACCCAATCTATTGACCCTGTAACTGGATCTCACTTTTTGGTAAATTAAAGTAATAGATATTAAATGCACACAACTGTTCATTATAATCTTATAACAACTTAAGTGTACGATCAATAACTGAGGTCTAGATTATTACTTGTTCAATATAAAATAAAATTATCCTCCGTGGTATGCTCAATACATCCAAGATGTACTACCGTAATTCATTGGCCAAGATAAACTGATTAAAATTTACACTACAAACTTTCATGATAGTTTGTTCAATTCTATCTGGGTTTTGATCCATACTTTATATTTTACAAGAAACCGACAACATTATATTTTGTTTGACACATCGAACAATATTATCTACAATATAAAATAATAGAACAAACACGTTTGACTAAACATGATTCTCATTAAAAAAATGTACTGGAAATAAACGTCTATAAATAAAGTCGAGCTTTTAGTATACAAACTAGAGTAATGTTATAGAGCCAACTTGAATACCAACTTGGATTACAACTCAAGTATAACTACATTACTTTTTAACTTTTTGATAACACATTTACACTGGGGTTGTAACTCAAGTTGTCATCCAAGTAGGCTAAATAGCATTACTCTACAAACTAACACCTCGAGCCCCATGTTTCTGCCCAATTCTACACCTTCAATAGGGATTTTCATGACCTACTGTTTCGGTGCCTGATTGATGGGCGAATAGAGACGATGCAGAAAGTTCGAGCGATGAATCCACCTTCCCTGATATCAACCTGGAGTTCAATCTGGAAGGATTGGAATGAGGACACGACCACTGATCTGTTGGATTTTCGATGTATGAACCTAGCGTACGCGCAGCGGAATTTTAAAAATTTTCTTACCAACAACGAAGATCCAGCTATAACTATTCGATATGATCCTCGATCGAATGATAAACGAAGACTTACAGTTGTTCGTAAGTTTTGCCCTTCAACTATGGTATCCACACAATCAAGATCCCGATGCACGATCCAACGGTAATGAATCCTTTCCGGTGAAGATGTTAGGAATCCTCAGTTAGAAAGCAAGAGAGTTTATTTCATGATGTATCTCTTCTTCTCTCATCTAATGATCCATCGATTAATGACGGTGAAGAGATAATGACATATTTATAATTAGGTCAAACCTAATTATATGGGCTTTAGAATACCCTACAGCCCAATATGTAAGTGGACCTAATCTAATTAATATTTTAATTAAGTATAAAAATCCAGTTTAACTTAATTAAATATTTTCTACCAAATAGAAAATAATTTCATTACTCATAAATAAATATTCCAATCTAATTGAATATTTAACACTCTAGATTCAGTCTTAGTCGGAAAATTTGATTGCATATTGTGTGACCGTATAGGCCTTCATATAATGACATAAATCATATTTATGATCCTTACAAAACTCGTAGACTGCGTCGAAGGACGAACTCAATATATGAAGTACATTTACATGGACAAAGCAAACAAACCTTTAGTGTAGAACTCAATGATGATACGGTCCCTTCATTCACGATCCACTCGATTAAGCTTAGGACTTGAACGTGTGTCTATCCAAATAGCTTAATCATTTTATCCCATCTTAGTGGTTGATTTTAATTAATTATATTTGATCAGGTCTAAGTAAATCACTCTATACATGAATTGTGTATTGACCTCAAGTCAAAGGACTATTACACCATTTCACACACCGATACTCTCATAGACACATAAACAAATGGTTTATCAGTAAGGTATACCAATACTCTCCAAAGTATACATGTGTTCATCACGAATAGCAATTATTCATAGCAGTGAGACATACTATATTCTCCAAGAATGTGATGCAGACCACATGACAATCTATCGCGTATCATTTATATCCATTTTTTAATGATCATCGATTGAGGTGATTTGAGAGTTAATTTTATCAATTAACATCTCACCTATTAATGACAATATTAACTCAAGGAAACAATTAATTAATAAATTGCAAACAATCAAACAATTATTTAATTAATTGTAATATCATAATTATAATCCAATATAATTATTAATGTGATTATGTATATATGTTCTAAAAAAGATTTTCTTTAGGACACATATACCAACACGATCTCCATGGATTCTTCTGATCGATGAGTTAGTTCTCCACTGTGAGATCGATAAAATCTGATACACAAAAAAACTTCGTAAAAGAACAAATAGAGAAAAAAGGGATGGGGACCCAAAGAAGTCACCACCAGGGCAACCATTGATGAGCACGAGATCTACTCCGTCGGCGTAGATGGTGGCGAATCGCAACGGCACCGTCCGATCATCAACGGCGAGGAGCTCGACGTTGAGGCGTCGCTGCCTTATACGCCTTCCATGGAATCTCTCTTTATCAAAGCCAATTTTTAGCTCTAGACATTCATTTTTACTATATTTGTTAGGAAAAAGAAAGAGATAGGTAGGAACTAGGAAGGAGAGGGAGAGAGAGTTGACGGATTTGACATATTTATGGCGCGAATAAAAATAGACTTAGTATCAGTTTAAATAAAAATATTTTAAGTGTGTGAGGTAATTTTCTCAACAACTATTAGTGTTAAGAGGTAATTGAATCAAATCCATTAACCAAACTGAACCAACATGCCCTTAAATTATAGGGTCCCACCCCAAGGTAAAACATCTGTAAAAAGATCGAAGGCGCACACACACTACCTCTTAATTTATAACTTCTCTCCCATCACGAAAATTGTAACATCAAAACCCATTTTTTCTTACACTACACACTGCATTACTAGCCTGAAACGAAGCAGTTGTCTTCTTCTCTTTAGCCTGAATTTATATAATCATTCTTTATTTTAATTCTTATATAAACATTTTATATATAAACTCACTCCTGAAGGTTACATTAAGTTAACTTTTTATCCAGTAGTGTAAAAATCTTGTTCATTTTTCAAAACCGAGTGTAAATAAATTTTTCCTCTTATATATATGCATGTAATCCATTATCCATAGGTCTCTATAAATTATTGGGTTTCCAAAAGAATTCAATCATTTTCACCAACATAAAACACTTCATTTGCGAGGGAACCTACTAGCTACCAAAGGCCAATTNACGAATAACATAAGCATGGTAGTGGTGATGGTGAGAGAGTACGAGGCCGAGAGAGATAGGTTGACTGTGGCGGAGCTGGAGAGCCGCTGTGAGGTGGGCCCCACCGGCAAACTCTCTCTTCACACCGACCTTCTTGGGGACCCACTTTGCCGGGTTCGCCATTCCCCTGCTTATCTGATGCTGGTAATTAATTAATTAATATTAGTTAGTTCCCATTCAACAAAATGCTAGCTAACAAAACCTGGATTCATTTTCTCTACTTATTTAGAATGGATCATTTTTCAGGTGGCGGAAATGGTGGGCGGAGAAGATAAAGAGAAGAAGAGAGAGATAGTGGGAATGATAAGGGGCTGCATTAAAACGGTTACGTGCGGGAAAAAGCTCTCAAATATTAATGCAAAACTTTCTAATAATAATAATGATATTAATAATCATAATTGTTTATTAACAACAATACCGGCACCTGATGAGCCACTTCCCCTCTTCACCAAACTTGCCTACATTTTAGGTCTCCGTGTTTCGCCTTCTCATCGGTAATTACTTGTTTTCTCCACATTTCTTTTTTAATTTCTATTATACATGTGGTTGTATTAGTTTCCAAGTTAAGTTTGGATTGTTTATTATTGGGTATATTATTTACCCAAATTAATTTGAAGGATTATTACGTTTATCTACACTACCAAGAGACTTGTCTCATTGTTACTTTATATTGATTTACAACATGATCCACNAAAAAAAACAAAAAACAAAAAATTTCTTCTTGTAGCAACCAAAGTAAAAAATGATAATCTCTTTTCCCAAAAATGAACAAACATTTTTCGCCATGCACCTAACTATGCACTCTTTATTTGATTAATTGGTTAATTAATTGACTACTATATTCAATAAAATCATTTTTAATATTTCTTTCATGCACCATAAAAATTAATCTTTCAGGAGAATTGGAATTGGATTGAAATTGGTGACCAAAATGGAAGAATGGTTCGCAGAAAACGGCGCTGAATACTGTTACATGGCAACCGAAAACGACAATCGACCTTCGATCAACCTCTTCACCAAAAAATGCGGCTACTCCAAATTCCGCACCCCCCGAATATTAGTCCACCCAGTATTCGCCCACAAAGTCCGCATTTCTAATCGGGCCTCCATTCTGCAGCTCGGCCTAATTGATGCAGAGGCCCTCTACCGCAATCAATTCTCCACAGTCGAGTTCTTCCCATATGACATTAACACCGTCCTTTCAAATCCACTCAGCCTCGGCACTTTCCTTGCCGTCCCAAGTGGGTCCCGAGCTTCTTTCCGGTGGCCGGGAACCGCCGGCTTCCTGGCGGCGCCGCCCGAGTCTTGGGCGGTGCTTAGCGTGTGGAATTGTAAAGACGCGTTCACACTGGAAGTCCGGGGAGCGTCGCGAGTGAAAAAGGCGCTTGCGCGGGCCACGAGGGTTGTGGACCGGGCTTTCCCGTGGCTGGGCCTCCCATCCGTGCCGGAGGTGTTCAGGCCTTTTGGGCTGCACTTTTTATATGGGCTTGGGGGCGAAGGCCCAGATGCGGTGGGTTATGTGAGGGCGCTTTGTGGAGTGGCCCACAACCTCGCGAGGGAGCGTGGGTGTGGAGTGGTGGTTACGGAGGTGGGGAGCCGGGAGCCGCTCAGGATAGGGATTCCGTACTGGAAGAGACTATCGTGCGCGGAGGATCTTTGGTGCATCAAGCGGCTGGGGGAGGAGGACAGTGACGTGTCGGTGGGTGACTGGACCAAGTCATCACCTGGTCTTTCCATATTTGTTGACCCGAGAGATGTCTGACTCTATGTATGCATTATATGATTGTCAGTGTGTTTCCTTATTTTAAGGCTATGAAAGAGGCTAGATTTTGCACAAACACAAAAACCCTCGATTGAGGGGTGATTTTTTTTTTCCCCAACTATTTTTGGTTAATTATGGATAAATATTTAGATTAACATTAGAGGAGGATATAAGAAGTGGAGGGGACAGTTGAACCTATATGTCAATGCATTGCATTCATTTTTTTTTATTTTTTTTGGTCATTGAATCAACACAGAAATCCAGACAGATATTGGTAGTGTAAAAGAAACCTCGATCGGGTTAAACGTCCTTTGATTCGCTCTTAACCGGTAAAAGGACCAACAAAATAGCATCAATGGTTGTTCCGACATACCAGGTCTGATCTTCAAGTCAGTGTTTGATGAAGGAGGTGATGTACACAAAGTATGTAACTATAAGATTGTTAGAGTGTGTATAGTTGTGATGATAATATCCACCCCTTTATATAGATGTGTTACCTTGTTGCTAATGACGACCGACTAGATTGCCCGAGCTACATGATCGTTCTTTCTGAGTGGCTAAATTGTCCAATTCTGTTAGCCCATGTCCTTATCTTAGTCATATTCCACTTTATCTATTATGTGATGAGTTCACAATAGTACTCTATCTCATTAGACGTCTTAATTCTGCTATTAGCTTGGTTTCCTGTGAGGTAGGTTGCTCTGACCTTCGATAAGTGAGTTTATCCTTTAGGTCGAACATCGACCTATAAGCCTCGAAATCGAGTTTCTCTAACTCGACCTATTGTCGTGTTGCTTTGCCAATGAGGTCACTATCAACTTGATACGTACTTCCACGACATCTGACACCTTTATTGCCTGAACGACCTGCCGACTCACTTAGTATGGTTGATGAACCGTTCTTAGGTCGTACACTAATTAATCATACTGGTAAGGCATCTCATATCATCTGGTCCTTCACTCTCGTCGCATGTTTGAAAGGAATGCAAGAAGAGCGATAGACGAGATGATGAATTGAGGGAAATGAGAGTAAAAAGGTAATGTATTAGGTTTAATGAATGAAGAATAGATAAATAAATCACTAACCACTCTTTCTTCATTGTTTGGTAAAAAAAGCATAAGAAGTAACAAGCACAGTAATTTTATCCCGCATAAAATTATCTTACCCTACCAGTGGAAGAAGTAAACGTGGCACTAAGCTGTCCATATTATTTATTGACGAGTACAATTTTCAATATTGGATTTTGATATAAATGGAAGGGATAAAAGACGAGTGAATTTGAGAAAGGAGAACATAGACAAACCATGTTTCTCTACCAGTACTGAACGCTAGCGTGATTCGGTTTTGTAATTGGATTTAAATTTGGAAGGATCAATGAAGGAGCTGTCATATCCCCTTTTTACTTGTTTATTTTCCTACGATTTTTTGACGCATTGTACCATTAGTTTCCGACACTAAAGGGAACGGTCCTGCCATACCCACACTTCCCAATCCCTTGTCTCATCTTTTCTTTTGTTGCTCTTTTGATTATTTGTTGAAAATTTCTTTGATGAAGTGATTTATCATAGTTATATAATTGAACATTTCTTTTATAACGAATATTATGTCTTGTCTATGCCCCACCAAATTTTTTTTAAGGTCCTTATAATTCTTCATTAATTACAAAATATAAGCAAAGAGATTTGAAAACAAAAACAAAATTCATTTTATTTCACTTAATTTTCTTATAATCCTTATAATTTTTCTTATTCCAAATTTCTCTTATCAAAACAAAAAATTAAGTAAAGTATAATTCAAAAATAAATTCATTTTATTTTCCTTAATATTCTAATTTAAGATATACTATAAGGTTATATAATTTTTTATAACTTGTAATATACGTGTTTTTAGAGTTTTCAATTTAAAAGTATTTTTTTTTTTTTGTAAAATGCAACCTGAACTACATATACACTCGCAATTTGCATGCTCGCCTATTTTTTTACCATACGACCATCCGCAAAAATATGTGGATGGTCAAGATGTAGGCGAGCGAGCGAATAATAAATGTATATGTAGTTGTGGTTGCAATTTAAAATATAAAATACTTTAAGTTGAAAATCTCAAAAGAACGTATAGTACAGATTAGAACAAATGTTTTACCCTACAAATAAAATATAAAAAATAATTATTATCCAATCAAAGAGATTTCTAGAACACTAAGGGGTGTTTGGATACAGATTTGTTCCGTCTTAACTCGTTTTTCGGCACTATGAACTTATGTTGATTATTTTTCAGTGTTCTAAAAGTCGCTAGGCGCCCGACCAGTGCCTAGCGCCTAGAGCGCCTAGTCGGGGCCTAGGCGGTGCCTAGTCGGGGCCCAGAAATCAATAATAAATATCTTATTTTTTATTTATTTTAACTACCTACAAAATAAAATTATCTCAACATATAATAAATTCACACACCAAAGTCCAAATAATAATATTAATATATATTAAAGAAAACATGAGAACAAAATAATGTAATTAGTATTTAAAAAAATAAAATTAAAAAAAAAATTGAAAAATTAAAAAAATTAAAAAAAAAATTAAAAAATTACCGCTGAGCCCGCCTAGGAGCGCCTAGGTCCGCCTACGCCCTCCTAGACGCCGCCTAACTGCCTGGCCGCCGAGCCCGCCAAGGCCGCCTAGGAGCGCCTAGGGCCGCCTGACCGATTTTTCTGCCGATTTGTACAAATCAGAGGCGCCCGGGCATCGCCTAGGCCAATTTTTAGAACAGTGTTATTTTTAAACCTTGGCCAACTTGAGATTTTGGTACATGAAATTATAAACCATTTTATTTTTATA